CTGAAAGTAAAATAAAAGTATTAAATGAGAGAACATAGTCAGATGAATTAAGAAACAGAAAAACAGAAAAAGAGGAGGCGAAAAAATTATATATATATATATTATAGAGGAAAAAAATCCGTAACTTTTTACCTTTTTAGGAATATATATAAATATTTATATATATTATATATTCCCAAAAAGGTAAAAAGTTGAAAGTACGCTAAAAATATCAAACACGAATTTTTTCTTTTTCTTTTGATAGCGTCGTTGGTTCAAAAGAAATTCAGTCGATCTATCTAAAAAGGACTCTGGACTATATATATTCGAACATGTTATCTCTTGGTAGTTTAATTTTAATATCAAGAATGTAAAAAAATTACAATTCAATGAAGTGCAGCAAATACAATAATAAGTGGAATGAGATCTGAAGCAAATATAATGATACTACACGTAGGCAATACTAATAAAAATGTTAATACAGAATATGTTTCTACATTTTTAATGGGTTTTTTGAATAATTATGAATGACTAATGTAAATATCTTATGAATGTAAAAAAAATTAAAAAACAACTATAATAAATTCATTTTAACAAGCAACTTAACAGATTAATAAGTAAATAATGACTACTGGCTTTTTGTAGTGAATAAACTCAACTTCATCATTGAAACATTAAAGTAATTCTCGCCACCACTATATATATACACACACACACACACACACATAGTGACAGAGAGAGAGAGAGAGAGAGAGAGAGAGAGAGAGAGAGAGAATGCGAGTTGACAGAAAGAGAGAGAAAGAGAGAGAAAGAAAGAAAGAGAGCGAGAAAATAAAGAGATAGATAGATAGATAGATAGATAGATAGATAGATAGATAGATAGAGAGAGAGAGAGAGAGAGAGAGAGAGAGAGGGAGTGAGAGAGGGAGAGACCGACAAAGAGTGAAAATGAAAACTAATATAATAAACCAGAAAGAAGGTTAGAGAAGAAGTGAAAAGATGTAATAAAAAGTAGAATCCAAAAATAAAAAGTTAATAGTTAGTAGTTAGTAAATAGTTAGTAGTTAAAATAAAAAATAAACCATGTTTGAAAGTGCAGCAAAGATTACAAAAGGATGCATGAAAAGAAAAAGAAATTGCTATGGAGTAAAAATAATTGAGAAAAAAGAGTACAAAATAAAGATAGCAAAAATTCAGACAGACAGGGAATGGATATCTTGAAAAAGAGTGTGAATGAGAGGGTGGAAAAGAGCGTGAGATAAAGAAAATAAAAAATAATAAAGAATTAAAATTAAGAACAGCGAAAAGGAAGAGAGAGAAAGAGAGAGAGAAATAGGGAGTACGTAAGTACTGGAATGACATGACCGAGAGAGAAAGAAAAGGAAAGCTTTGTTTATAGACGTTTTACAAACTGGACTGTTTTTCAAGCTTTAAAGCCAATGTTTGTTAGACGATTCAGATCTAATTTTATCGGCGGTAAAAATAGGCGATGCCATTTGAAACAACGTAGAAGACCAAACGCCTCTGAGTTTAACACGGCAATGTAAGTCACATACGAAACCCAACTTTACTGCTTAGAGAAGCTGTGTATCACCTTAGCGATTTGGGAAATAAAAAAGTTCTTACGACCGCTGAAACTACAATGTATTCCACACATATTTCTCGGGCCGTGCCATAACGCAAAAGCACATTACATGCCACGCGTTCACTTAAATGAATATTATTCTTTATGGCTTGATGCCAGTTCTGAAAAAGATTTGGGTTTGACAGTTTTTCATAGGTTTTCTATCTGGAAACAGAAAAGTTCGATGACAGAATTTTAGCATTCCGCTAAATTTTAGACCAATTTATAATAAACAAATTATATATTAAATTGTAACAATACATAGTGGTTAATGAATTGGACAATCGCGATAGAATATGTCGATATATTCGATATAATATATAAGATAATTTTTTTTTCTTATAAATTATACGATAAATTCGATATAATCGATTAAATAATTTAATAGTTTATTCCATTCTATTTATTACATGCTTATTAATTTAAATAGGAAAATGTTACAAAGCTAACGGAAAACATTTAAATTTTTAAATTTAAAGTGGCGGGTTTCACATATTTCGACCGCCAAGTGAGACAGAACCGATCGTGCCGTAAAATTGTACGGCCAATTTACATATAACGTTATTTTATATTGCACGGCACTATTGAGACATGAACTCATTAAACCGAAATGGTAATAAAATAAATTTGACAGAGAGAATATTCACAGACGTCTTTCCCTCAGTAATTAACTTTTAATGAACAATTATTCGATACTGGAAAATATTTTAAAAGGCCAAATTCTCAAAAAAATCAAATATAATCTTTTTTTTACCAGAAACTGGGGAAAATTAAGGATCTGGAAAGAATCTAGACCCTGGTCGATCGTAATTTGTATTTATTTCACATTAATTGTAGTAATTTTCTCCGTGGTATGTATTATGTGTTAAACAATTATTTTTTGCATATTTTTATGAACTAGGTTGGCATGCTATTGAGTTTTGAAATTGTGCTAATTTTTATTGTATGTTTTTTTCATTCATTTTCTATAAACTTTTGTCAACCCCAAACTCTTTGTAAAAGCGCAAGTTAAAACCCGGTAACGGTGAGACACCTATTAGAGGAATGTAATAAGTTAAGAGAGTACCGAGAACGGTGTGACCTATCATCTAATCTGGAAATAGTTCTTAAGTATAACAGTGACTTCAAAAATAATCTTGTTAGGTCCATAAAATTGATAAATGCGTATACATACATATAAACAACCACACGTGGTATATCTCCATTTTGCAGTGTGAATGTATTTATTAGCGTGGGCGATGAGGTATGTATGGGTGTGGCTGTGACTGAATATCGAATAGCTCACAGACCCGCCAAATTAGTTTATGTAATTATATATTTGTTGTGTGATGTGAGAGACAGGTCACCGCTATCAAGGTTGTAGTAATACTACCGAGATGCTGCGACCTCTCCTATGTGAATGTATTTATTAGCGTGAATGTTTTGTGTAAATGGACGTGGATGTCGAGGAATATCGAGGACTCCATAAGCCCGTCAAAAGGAAATTAGTGTAATGGATGAATGAAAGTCGGTACATACTGTATGAATGTATTTATTAGCACGAATGGAAGGAAGTCGGTAGGATTATGACTATCCTACCGACTTTGTATTTAGTTGTAGGGGCAAGACCTCAGTCGTGCACTTGTACTCTGAGCCCTGCCATCTGTAGACTAGGTAAGCATTTTCTTAGCGTGAGTGTGTATTGTTAGTGAGTCTGTAAATATTAAAGTATTTTTAACAAACCACGTGTGGGAACAAGCAACAAGTTACTCCTCTGTTTGGTCGGTAGGAGACAAAATTAAAAGAAGAGTTATGATGAATGAGATAGATATAAAGTTGAAATGAAACAAAGAAAAATGCGAGAAGCTTATACAGGGTGTCCCAGTTCCTTGTGACGAAACTCAGGGAATCGATTCTACTCTTTGTTTGGAGCAAAAAATGCTCAGGAGAAAATTTTCGGAAAGGTCTCTATTTTGAAGATTTTCGTCAATTACGTTTTTTCAATTTTTCACTACCTTACCACATAAAAACGCTTACAACTTCCAAAATGTTGAGATTACAACAAATCCAATTACACCATTTGAAAGAACGCTAAATTTGCTGTAAGATACTTCTTTTCCATATTCTGAATGACATAAAATGTTAGCCAATATCAGTTGGAACATGTCAAAAGTACAAAATTTAAAATTTTGGTCATCATTGCACGTTCTACTGAGGTTACAAAAAATACCTACACTCGTTAAATTTTACAAAAACTTCTTCATTTAATATGCTTTACGTTGATATATCCAGGTTTTTAAATAACGTTCTAGTAGAGTTGAAAAATAACAATTGAATGTTCGAAAACGTGAGCTAAGGTAAATTTGAAGGGGGGAGTAGAAATTCAGAATGTCAGTTATGCATTCGAGAAGAGGGAAAACACTTTGAGCATTTCCTCTGAAAAGTTCCTCCTTTGTTGTTAGGTGCTTGCTACAAGAAGAACCATTGCATTTTATTGCATGAAACTTTCTGGTATGGTTTTTGTGAGATTACAGATGTGTCATTTTTATTTTACAAAGCGAGTTCTAATTGATTTATTTCTACCCCCCTCCAAATTTACCTTGGCTCACGTTTCCGAACATACAGAACAGAAAAATTCCGAATTGTTATTTTTCAACTCTACTAGAACGTTATTTAAAAACCTGGATATATCAACGTAAAGCATATTAGATGAATAAGTTTTTGTAAAATTTGACAAGTTGTAAGTATTTGTTTTGTAACCTCAGTAGAAGGTGCAATCATGGCCAAAATTTTAAATTTTGTAATTTTGACATGTTCCAACTGATATTGGCTAACATTTTATGTCATTCAGATTATTGCAAAGAAGGGTCTTACAGCAAATTTAGCGTTCTTTCAAATGGTGTTATTGGATTTGTTGTAGTCTCAACATTTTGGAAGTTGTAAGCGTTTTTATGTGGTAAGGTAATGAAAAGTTGAAAAAACCTAAATTGACGAATATCTTCAAAATAGAGAACTTTCCGAAAATTTTCTCCTGAGCATTTTTTGCTCCAAACGAAGAGTAGAATCGATTCCCTGAGATTCCTCAGAAGGAACTGGGGCACCCTGTATACGTGAGGTACCGGCAATGACCCATGTATTTAGCCGGCCAAAAGAAAAAAAAAACAGCTCAAGTTGAGGTTTTACAAATAAATAAACTTAAAAAATTAAATATGTTAAAAATTAGGGAAAATTGTTTAAAAATATTGATGTATTAAAACTACAATTGCTGGTTTCTTTATTTGAGTTTTATTTTTATTTGTTTTGCAAGGGTATATGTATGTGTAAAAGCACCAATAGTATCATAGAAAAATTCTACAATTCTACAGTGTATATTTTTGTGAAACAAACGAAAAAATTATAGATTAAAAAACGTGCAAAATCTTAGAAAAATGGGTGTTGTTTTATGGTTACTAAACATTCCTCTTACCAGAAATGAGCTTGGTGCCTGAGTTCTCCCAGCTCGTCAGATTGTAATAAAGAATGTCAGGAGAGAGAGACGTCAGTCGGTTGTTCCTCAGGTCTAACGATAGGTGAGTGACTCTGAGTGACGAGAGAAGTCCGAGGGGAAGTTCCTCGATGGAAGTGTCTCTGATTTGGAGTACGAGCTCCGGAGTGGGCGTCAGGCCCCGCAGTGCCCCGCTGTCCAGCTCTTTGAGCCCGGCTCCTTTGATCTCCAGGTGGCGCAGTTTCTTCCCCAAAGGACCTCCCAGGGTGGAAAGCCGTGTCTCTGTCACTGTGACCGACAGACGTCGCAATGACGTGATCCTTCTCACGAGCTGTCCCACTCCGTAACTAAACACAAACGTCCTCTGTGTTATTTGATATTCACATTTTTGATCTTATAGAAAAAACGTCTTACATGAAAGAACATACAATATATAAGTTAAACATGCAATATTTTGTAAACTTTTTTGACGATGGTTCGCAATACCAGCGGTATCAATCAAAGCTCTCGGTTAAAAGTTTTCCAATAAAATTTGCATGAAAATTTTAAATAAATTGATAAAATTTGTTTCGTGGGGTTATAAAAACCTTTAAAAAATTAAAACAGTTGGCGTGGAAAACCATGTTAGAATTGAATTATTTTCAATCCTTAATTTATTTTGCTATGATTATTTGTTGCAGATCAAAAGGTTTCGTATAAAATCAATTTGTTAAATTTGTCAACGTGATTAAAAACGGGCGGCTTTGAGCAAAACGGTGAAATGGACAGGGTAAAGTACATCTCATCCCTAAATAATCAGATCAGTTACAATCCATTCCTAGCTAAGCATATTTCCATGTCTGCCGTTTTCCTTTTAAATGTCATTCCATTATGAAACGTCCATCTCGAGCCTCGCAAAAAGCATTATGAAATATCTACCGGTTTCCGACCCTCTCTCCGGTTTAAGGACTCCCCTGGGAAAACCAGGTGTTTCTCAAATTACAACAGCCCCGAACTTCTTATGCAATCCAGAAATATGGAGATGTATTTTTTTCTCCACGGCCTGTATTGCCTGCCTCTATTGAAATTACAACAAAATGTAAATTTCAGTATCTGCACTTTGGGTTAAAATATTACTGACTGGATAATTCGAGATCTGCTGAATTTATTATCAATATGTATGAACTTCATATATGTATGCGCCGTTTTAGTGAAACATTTGGGCCAAAATAAATTATTTATTAACTTGTACAAAGTTATTTTTGTTAGACGAGTTACTACGGACGTGGGATCAACGAAGATAATTAAACTTTTTTTGGGGATACAAGGTTGAAAAATATTTTCAGAGTGTTATTGCCAATAGACCATTGAACCTAGAAAAAATTAAGTAGTTTATTTAATTCCACTAATTTCGTGACCAATTAATATATTACAATTAATTAAGGTTTTTAGTTGAGATAAAAAGTCAATTGCACGAGCGGGATAAGGAGGGAAAATTCAAAAGGTGCGGTTGAGATGGGAAGTTGGTGTCCGAGTGGATCGAGGTCACGATAGCTCAAGTGGTCGAGCAGCGGCGTATCAAGCCGAAGATCATGGGTTCGAATCCCGCTCGTGCCACTGACTTTTTTATCTCAACTAAAAACCTTAATTAATTGTAGTTTATTTAATGTTGGTTTCGGTCTTTATTTTGCCTACATTTTTCGATTCGATTTTTATGTGGAATAAGAAAATAATCATAGATTATTATCACATTTTAACTTACGAAATTGCATAGAATTAATATAATGGAAAGAAACAAAATTAATTGCTTTGGGAAGTCCGTCGGGAGAATTACCAGTGCTTTAAAGTTAAAAAAAATGCATTACAGGTCCGATTGACCAGTTAACTATTTTCAATTAATTAATCTTTATGAAAGATATTGGATGAGATAAAAAAGGCAGTGTCACGAGCGGGATTCGAACCCACGATCTTCGGCTAAATACGCCGATGCTCTACATCTTGAGCTAACGTGATTTCGATCCGCTCGGACACTAACTTCCCATCTCAATCTCACCAAATTCGAGAGGTTCTCAACCAATACCTTTCATAAAAATTAATTAAAAAATAATTTTTTAAAATAAATTTCGTCTACAAGTAATTTTATTTGATAGCACGCATCCCACCATCTTCTAAAATAATGTTCTGTTGTTTTTTCATTGTCTTTGTAAATAAAAAAAAGAAAATGGGCAAATAGCGAGACTGATGAGATTACAAGCCATTTACCTCGAACATTAAACACATGCTTCAGAATTCAATAAAGGTTGTGAATAAAGCACGTGCTTAATCGTTTATTTTATAATAATTGCATAAATAGTTTATTGGTTTATTTATTTACGTCGCGTTGCTAACAACGTTTACGAGAAAAACAGAAAAGCGGACCTTTCGACTCTAAAGGGATTTTTTAATAAGGGAGGAGGTTTTGTAAATCAAACGATCAGGAGAAGGATCTCTAAAATAGAGTTGATTTGATTAATTTACCTTAAGATGTTGGGCCAAGTTTGTATATTGAGACTTCTCAAGGCTCCTAAACTGGAAAGGCAGTCGCTATCGAGCCTTTCCAACTTGTCCAATCCCGTTAAGTCTAATGACTCCAGCCTGCCCAAGCCTTTAAAGCTCTCCTTACTCAGCGACTGAAAACGAAAAGGAAAAGGTGTCAATGAATGGAAATCTCTCGTACAAACGGCTCGGATTAATTTGCTTTGAACGAAGAGTTTAAGTTTTAATTTTTCCTTTGGGAACATGCGTCATAAATTCGTACAATAATTGATTACTATATATATTTTTATAATTTATGCTGATATTGATGATATAGAAATACTGGCACATCGGTTCGGGCCCATCGATTTCTCAATCGGTTTACACCCGAGGTCAACACAAATTTATCCAAGCCATTATCGTTTATTATCATATTTAATGGTTTCCATGAAACAAGGTATTATTTGTAATAAACACAACAAACAACCGTAGTTCTCTCCAAGTACAAATATATATATAATTCAACTCTTAAAAGTGTCTATTCTTTTGTGTCTGGGATAGTGTTAGGGGAGAAAAGAGTGCGGTGGGGGTTGGTAGTGTGAGGGGAAGTGGTGAGTGATTGAGTGACAGGGGTTCCAAGAAAAGAAGAAAAAGAGACTAAAAGGGAGAAAATAACGTGTAGTGTGAGTAAAATAGAAAGAAAGAGAAATAAAGTAGACGAGTAAGGAAGAGAAATAAAGAGGAAAAAAGAAACTGATAAAAAAGAAGGAGCAAGTTAAATAGAAAAGAATACAGAGAGAAGGTGTATCAAAACGTTAGATAATGAGAAAAGGGGATAAAAAAGAGATACATACTTAGATGCAGAGAGAGAAAAACAGAAAGGAAAAGAGAGAGAGAGAGAGAGAGTGTGATAGGTTTCTAAGAAAGAAGAAGAGTCTAAAAATTAAGAGCAAGTCTGCAATAAAGACAAAAGAGATAAAGAAAGAGGAAAGAAAGAACGAAAAAAAGGAAGGAATGAGTATAAATATAAACTGCTCAAAAATGAATAGGTATATTGCCAATTTTATAATATTCATTTCATAACGAATTTCACTCCATATTTGTTGGAACGCTGCACTCAGTTGTTGCAGGTCAACTGGCTGCGAATGGTGTTCGTAAAGCCTTCACTGCAACGCATCCCACATGTGGTCAATGGCATTAAGGTCTGGAGACAATGGTGGAAAGGGCAGATGAGAAATTCCCAGGTTTTCTAAACATTGATGAACAATTCTGACTCTATGAGATTCGGCATTGTCATCCAGAAATCGAAGATAGCTGTCTATGAGATCCCTTGAGGGATGTATTCCTCGATAATTTATTGGACATAAAGTACTGCTGTGAAGTTGCTTTCAACAATGTGGAGTCCGTTCGTTGTCCATTGTAAATCCCAGCCCAGACCAAATTGTATTGAAGGGAGCACGAATTGTGGCCTTATAAGCACCCCTGTTGTTGGTAGGCTCTTCGGCCCCTGCTATCACTATACAGACCGAAACGCGACTCATTAGTAAATATAACTGCATTCCAATAGGTTTTCTCTTCTAGGAGCTCGCTGCACCGTATTCTCCTAGTTACTGGTGGCAGGCTGTTGCTGCAAGTCTTCTCAAAGGGGTATACAATGTGAGGCCAACTTCCCGATTATAGATCATTTGTGTTGATAAAGGCCTTGCTAAAATAACTTGTACTTTATTTAGGATCTGGCGAGCACTATGGAAAGGATTTTGTCTTGTAGCAGTGACAATATTTCAGAACTTCTTTAGCGTCGTAATGTGCCACCAGACCTCCTATTGGCATTTCCGGTCTCTCGGAATCGAGCTAAAGGCCTGGAGATCACTCTCTGAGAAATGCCAACTACCTTCGCGATACAAACTTGCCGGTGACCTCGATGATTCATTCTCACAATAATATTGCGAACTTCTGGTTCAAGATGATGTCTATCCATGGTTAATGAGGATAAAACTCGATTAAAATGGAGAAAAGGTGTTTCTTTACAAAATCACTAATTAAAGTTGGGTTTATCGACCTAACAGTTATGACATTAGAATTGTTTGAGGTATCCTCATAAGGTCTTTGTGATGGAGTAGACGTTTTCGGCAATTTATGTCGCCACCTCCAACAATTGTTTTAACTTACACCATTGGGTAAAATAAGGGTATAATTAAATTTTATTACGAAAACAATGGAATTTTTCATTGTCTCACAGTAACGATGTAACTATATGCATTATTCAATAAATAGGTCCTGAGGGATGGTGATATAAATCACCGAAAGCTTGGTTAACCAAAAAAAGTCTACTTCATCACAATGACCTTATCAAGATACCTCAAAAAATTTTAACATGAGTAATCTTCATGTTTACTATTCTTAACTAAACCCTTTATTAAAAATGAGGATTAACATTTGTTTGTTTTTGATTGTATTTTCTATTGTGTTTTATCTCCTAGCAAGAATATATCGGTTAATTAATAAAAATTAATATAATAAGAATAAATTACAAATATTCCTATTCATTTTTAAGCAGTTATAAGAGAGAGAAAGGGAGAGAGAAAAAGAGAGGAAGAGATAATGAGAGAGATAAGAAAGAAAAAAGAAAATAAAGAATAACAGCAAGTGCAAGAATGTGTATTGTATGTGATGTTTAGTGACCGTTAGCCAATATTATTTGGAGATCGTGAGATGCGGTCTGGTGGGACGTAGGTTTGAGAAAACATTTTCTTAACGTTTCGATCTTTATTGAGATCATCTTCAGGGCTCAAAGTGTTTGTTTTCCGTGTAGATGTGTTCATGTGTCACAAGAACACAAGAACTACATAGAAAAGAATACACTTTGAGCCCTGAAGATGATCTCAATAAAGATAGAAACGTTGGCAAGATAAAGAAAATGTTTTTCTAAAGTCTACGTCACACCAGACCGCATCTCACGATCTCCAAATAATCATTTAAATATATTTATCTTATTTTTCTCACTTATCAAAGTGTTTCTCAATGTTATTTTACGCTAGGATTGATTTCTTTCTCTACTTCCCAAATTTACTCCAAAGCATGCCACTAATATGCGAAATGCGGAGATAGCGTTTATTAACCTGCCAAAAATGTATCAATGATTCCTACCGTTCTTCTTGTTTCCATAAGTCAATTTCTTTCTGTCAAGTCGCCTCCCCAGATTTTGCATAACACAATTCTCTTTCCACATAAACGTTAACAGTCGAAGAATTTGCGAAAAATCCCTGTCGAAACAAACCTTGAACAGAGTTCCTGTTTCTGAAAGAATAGCCCACAATACTTGTGTAGAGATATGAAGGTAAAAACGATTTGTGCGCTAGTACTAAGTTTTTTAGTTAACCACTGGAAATAGTTTGAAGGAAATTAATTAGGCAATGTGAAGTCACAAGATATTCTATCTCAAACGGCATTCGGTTAACATTGTAAACACTGGCAAGGTTTTAGATCAATTATAATCCCGCCGAATCCAAGGTAATGCATTGTCTCTGTTTTCAAACAGATAGTCGTAATAAGATTATAGGATTTAAGGTTTTATTCCGAGGGGGTTGAAACATTTCGCCCTTTTATCCCCGTATGTATTCGAAACGCCGAAAAACCACCGCGGCGTGTGCGAACTAAATTAGCAGGTAGGATTTATTGAAGCAAATAAAACTTTTTGCGTCCCGTCCCTTTTTATACTAAAAGGATTAGAATAATGTTTCAAAATTTAGGATCGAAAATGTGCATTACCGTCGGATCAAACCGAAACGGGAGAAAAAAAAAAGAATGCACATTCAAAAATAATTTTAAACCTGGCCCTTGAGGAAAATAAAAAATTACAAACTTTGATTGTATTTAATTAAATTTTATAATATATCAAATTACAAATACGAGATGGTATTATTTAAATAAATAATGATAAGATAAATAATGGTGGCATAAATTTGACTATATTATCAGATATTTCTTCTTCCCACATATTTGGCTAGCGTTTCTCTGTTTTAAACCTTCGGGAGTAAATAAACTTTATTCCTCAAAAGTGAAGATAAACCTGGCACTTCTCGTTTATTTTACAATAAATGTGTCAAAATTTACAGTTTAATTATTTTCCGGCCAATATTGGAATTTAGCGCCAATACATTTTTTCAACTTCCAGCTTGAAGTATAAAAGTGCCATTCTTACAATAAATACCTTATTGGGTAAAAACCCATATTTAGATGGAACGAATTCATCGATATAATTTCATTGTTAGATTGAATTATATGCGTGACAAAGAGAGAGAAGTTTATTTTTTTGAAAAAAAGAAATTGGCTGACCAGTCAAATATCTGTCCCTCACGCGAAGCAAATAAGCAAGTAACCTAAGGCCAGTTAATTGAGAAACCACAGCCAACAGACTATCAAAAACATCCCCTGTTCAAACTTTTCATTCTATCATTTCCGGTCATATTTGTCCAATGATACGCTATTTGGATTGATTCTCTAACAAATCATAAATGAACCCTCGGCCGGATGATTCGTCGTCTAAGTTATCAAGACGAATTACAGTGGCATTGTTGTGGATAATCCGAGAACGGTCACGGCTTGAGTCCTGCCAAACTCTCAGGAAATTCATAGAACACTTAAGGGTCCTCAGATCTTGACCTAATTAATTTGTATAAATTGCAATGCTTTACGTTTTGTTTCACAAATTATTTCAGTTGCCGCCATTTTTATACAGTATTTTTAACGGACGTTCTTTTTATCTTAGATGAAATGCACAGACAGTGGAAAGTTATATGATAATATTGGATTGTAAACAGTGATATGATGTATATGAATAAGTCTAAAAAAGATTAATATTTGACTTGAGATTTAATAATGTTTTCATACGCAAAGGCGTATGTAAGAATCTAATATATTTTTCTCTTTATTATGCTGTAAGTCTCGGCATTTCATTGCTTCTACTCTTATTTTATCTTTTATGTGGCATCCTGCTGAAAAATACATTCGGTTTGGTTGCGGGGCTTTGATGTAAAAATGCAACGCAACTCCTGCAGGAATCGCGACTTTACCACGGACATGGAGCTCGGCCAACGCAATTCTTCACGTTTCATCGCAATTCACAAAGTCGTCCGTGTTGGAAGGCAATAAATTC